ATGCTGAGACAGCAATCTGTCAATCTTTCTACAAAGAACTGTGATAAACATTCTGTGTTTTCGTTGGCACAGGAGTGGAGCAACTATAGTGTGACCCGTTTGCTATGAAGCTGAAACTAAGATTACAAAGATTACCAAGATGTACGGGTGAAAGTTCATGGTTAAAGGAGATTTCCCCTTCAAAGGGCATTCAGTCGTTCCATAATGAAAAAAGGAGTTTTCTTCGACATCTCCAGTCTCCGTAATCGTTTATATTTATATTTATTACATTGGATCAGCATCATCGCACACGGGTGTAACCCATACGTGCTTCGTTCTTCTTCTAACTCAAGCCTTTGTCTGAGGTTTCTCAGCGCAGTGCACGCACTCTGATGCGCCGGCGAGGATTCTGAAATACTTTGGGTAGTTTTTTAACTCCTAATTTTGCCAGGGCAGCGACGTTAGGCTACTCTTTTGATTTTCAACTGCCAAGAGATTTTTTACGTGCGCAACAATACACGATGGCGTCCACTCTTACTACCCAGAGACCAGAGGAAATTACTAGAAGTCCACGTGAAAAAATCCCAACCTTCACTGGGGTTTGAACCCAGGACCTCTAGCACTCAAGGCGGACGCCATGCCTCGAGACCATGCACCTCTCCCGAAATCATATCACATGTTAATGTATGTATAGTTTGTTCAGCATGTAAATACTTCCCTTTTTAAAAGATGTTTTAAGTAGGTTTATCATTCAGCCATAATTTTTCAACCATGCCGCCCCCATGTTGGATGCAACTTTTCGTTATGTATAGCCACACCCTGGCTTTTGACGGGGGCCCTAAAATATAGACGGACCATAGATATGGCCTAACGGCTGAACGGGGTTTCTGGGACCTCTCAACTGGCAATCCTCATGCGCATGGTAGCACGGGCGGCGTGGAGCGGGACTTAACTAGATGGCTGGGACTCTTCTGCGTAGCGACGTGGGAGATACTTTAGGTGGTGGCAGCAGAAGTTCTCAATTTACATGTGGCTGAGGCCCTGTTAGGGTGTGTTTTTGGCCGCCATAATATGTGTGTCTGTCTGGCCGGCTAGGTCGTGTCCTCTCATTGTGCAGGTTTGGATCTGTCATCTCCTTCTGTGTCTTTGAGGCTTCAGCCCCACTGAACTAGGGCGAGAAGTCCTCACTATAAGATGGCTGGAGAACAAACATCGAACTGGAGCGATCAGTACTCACTACAAGAAGACTGGTGAACCTACATCTAACTGGCGCCCGCATTGTTTACTACAAGAAGGCTGGTAAACCAGCAATAAACTGGGGCGAGCAGTGCTGACTATAAGAAGACCGGTAAATCAGCAATGAACTGGGGCGAGCAGTGCTCACTACAAAAAGACTGGTGAACCAGCAATGAACTTGGGCGAGCAGTGCTCACTACAAAAAGACTGGTGAACCAGCAATGAACTTGGGCGAGCAGTGTTCACTAAAAAAAATAAAAAAACTGGTGAACGAACATCGAACTGGGCGAGCAGTGCTCACTACAATAAGACTGGTGAACGAACATCGAACTGGGGCCAGCAGTGCTCACTACAGGAAGGTTGGTAAACGAACATCAAACTTGGGCGAGCAGTGCTCACTACAGGAAGGTTGGTAAACGAACATCAAACTTGGGCGAGCAGTGCTCACTACAGGAAGATTGGTAAACGAACATCGAACTTAGGTGAGTAGTGCTCAGTATAAGAAGACATGTGAACGAATAATAAGACATGTGAACGAACATCAAACTTCGGCGAGTAGTGCTCACTACAGGAAGACTGGTAAACCAGCAATGAGCTGGGGCGAGCAGTGCTCAATACAGGAGGACTAATAAACGAACATCGAACTGGAGCGAGCAGTACTCAATACAGGAGGACTAATAAACGAACATCGAACTAGAGCTAGCAGTACTCACTAAAAGAAGACTGGTGAACGAACATTCCACTGGGGCAAGCAGTGCTCACTACAAGAAGACTGGTGAACGAACATTGAACTGGAGCGAGCAGTGCTTACTACAAGAAGACTGGCGAAACGGCAATGAACTGTGGCGAGCAATGCTCACCACAAGAAGACTGGTGAACCAACATCGAACTGTTACGAGCAATGCTCAATACGAAAAAAATTGGTAAACCAGCAATGAACTGGTGCGAGCAGTGCTCACTACAAGAAGACTAGTAAACCTACATTGAACTGGAGCGAGCAGTGCTCACTAAAAGAATACCGGCGAACTACATCGAACTTAAGCGAGCAGTGCTCACTACAAAAAGGCTAATGAACGAACATTGAACTGGGGCGAGCCGTGCTCATTACAAGAAGACTAGTGAACGAACATCGAACTGGAGCGAGCAGGGCTCACTACAAGAAGGAAACCTAACAGAAATAAACACCAGCTTGTACAATGCATTGGGAAAAAAGCGCAGAAACGATCCTTACATCTTCCCGCCTTCCCACCCTACCCCAACACCTAGCTGAGGTAAATGGTCGAAGAGAAGAAGAAGAAGAAAATGGTTTCTACGGAAAGTATCTTATCTAATATACACGTTGTCCTTGTGCACCAGCAAGGAGATACAAATTTTTACAGCATGCATCTTTCCTGTGGCTAACATACGGATGTGAGTGGTGGACTATCTCTCAGTCCTTAAGAAAGAAAATAGGGGCTTTTGAGCTGAAATGCTATAGAAAGATTCTCAGAATATCTTGGACAAAGAAGATGAGAAATATTGACATCTCAAAAGATCTGAACATCAAGGAAGATTGGCTAATAAACAGCACCCTGTCTCGGAAGCTGAAATATGTTTGGTCATATCAAGCACCACGACGGATTGGAAAAAAATTATAGCAGATGGCATGGTACCAGGAAGGAGGGGCAGGGGCCGACCGACACGAAGATGGGCACAGGATATAAGTGACTCCTTGAGTGTGAAAGTGCATGAGGCGGGAGAACTGGCGAGAGACCGAGTTTCTTTCAGGCAGACTGTGATTAGAGCGACGTTCTGCAAAAGACCTGCTACATAATGATGATGATGTTGTCCTTGTAGAAGTTTCAGCTCAGGCTATCTTTCAGCGCATTGTCGTAGTATGGAAATGTTATTACTACACAAATAAATTGTAACGCATTCTTTTAATTATAATGCTGAAACTGATTGGTTGTAATTTAATTTCCTTGTGTGTTTTGAAAATTAAGCAATTGTTGTTTGATTTTCATCTGTTACGTTTACATTGGAGCCAAGATCATTTGTCAAAATATCTCTGCAGTGCGGATTTGAACCAAAGATCTCCAGACCAGCTAGCCAGCACCTAGCGACTAGTCACAGATGTGGTCAGTGTAACCACTAGCTGCACTTAGGAGTCAGTCTAGCCACTAACTACACTTAAGATCAATCTAGCCACTAGCTACACTTGAGATCAGTCTAGCCACTAGCTACATTTGCGGTCAGTCTAGCCACTAGCTACACTTGAGATCAGTCTAGCCGCTAGCTACATTTGCGGTCAGTCTAGCCACTAGCTACACTTGCGATCAGTTTAGCCACTAGCTACACTTGAGATCAGTTTAGCCACTAACTACACTTGAGATCAGTCTAGCCACTAGCTACACTTGAGATCAGTTTAGCCACTAACTACACTTGAGATCAGTCTAGCCACTAGCTACACTTGAGATCAGTTTAGCCACTAGCTACACTTGAGATCAGTTTAGCCACTAACTACACTTGAGATCAGTCTAGCCACTAGCTACACTTGAGATCAGTTTAGCCACTAGCTACACTTGAGATCAGTTTAGCCACTAACTACACTTGAGAACAGTCTAGCCACTATCTATACTTGAGATCTAGCCAGTAGCTACATTTGCGATCTAGCCACTAGCTACATTTGCGGTCAGTCTAGCCACTAGCTATATTTGCGATCTAGCCACTAGCTACATTTGCGGTCAGTCTAGCCACTAGCTATATTTGCGATCAGTCTAGTCACTAGCAACACTTATTTGACTCATACGATATGCTTGTTAGGGGGCAGTTGGGCTATCAACCCCCTTCCCCTTCCACGCGTACTTCTTCTTCTTCTTCTTCTTCTTCTTCTTCTTCTTCTTCTTATTATTATTATTATTATTATTATTATTATTATTATTATTATTATTATTATTATTATTATTATTATTATTCTGCGTTCGACATCAGTCTTGCTAAACATTGAGTCCCGTCTGGGTCACAAATAGGATTGTGCGTTTGAGGTCGCCACCGGTCCCCCATAACTTCTCTTTTAATGTGGCTCCCTTGGGCCAGATCCACAGTCTTTGCTGGGAGAGGTAAGGGCAGTACTGTAGTATGTGCCCAGGGGTCTGTCTTTCTGCTCCACAATCACAGGCAGCAGATTCTTTTATGCCTATCCTGCACAGGTGTGCTCGAAGACCACAGTGTCCAGTCCGAAGTTTAAAAATTGTTGTTTGTTCTTTCCTGTTGAGTTTCTTTATGCTTTCACTCTTTGGTCTGTAATCTCCATTCTGCATTCTCCACTCCCGCTGGTTGCAGGTTGCTGTGATATTATTTATGTAAACCAGGAACAGAGTTGGTGCTATCGCACTGCCCTGGGGAACTCCTTCTCTTAGTTTTGCCAGTTTGGCGAGTCATATTGTAAAACGGATGCACATGCAACACCCAGGTTCTGGAACAGGACTGCAATCCAGAACTTGATGTACAACCACAACTTCTAGCAAAAGTTTACAACTTGTAAACGCAAAGAAAAAGAAGAAGATTTCCATGCTGGCAAAAAAATGCATTGCGCATCAGAAGAATTAATCCGTGCAGCGTTCAGCACGGGGCTAGAAATCATAGCAGCTGTATTGAACAGTCTTTTATGATGTTCATTCAACAGTTACAATACATATATTCATATCCTTCTTTAGGGATAGCCCTAACATTAAAGGCACCATTGTCTCCAGCCAAGAAATGTGTTGCTTCTCTTATACTCAGGTAACAGCCTTAAATCGAGGCAAATGATTACCCCACTAGCCATTTCAATCATCTCTTTGGCTAGTTTTTACCTTTCGTGTGGGTTGTGCGATCAAATCTGTGTGCAATGGCCGGATTACGGAATTAGGCGACATAATTATTGTTTCGTTGATTTAAAGAAGAGTTTTAACTCTCAGGTGTTTTTGTACGAAGAAGCCTTGTCGTACTGTCACGAGAATGGCGGGATTGTGAACAATTCTGCATTGACTCCTGCTGACTTTGAAGTCTTGAGTAGAGCAGAAGGGAATGTGTCTGGAGTGAATGCAGTACGTCGGTTTTCAGGACGTAGGTAAGGCTTCTTTTTTGTTTGTTGTTGTTGTTGTTCTTCTTTTTTTTTTTCTTAATCTTCCTCTTCTTCTTCTTCTTCTTCTTCTTCTTCTTCTTCTTCTTCTTCTTTTTCTTCTTCTTTTTCTTCTTCTTCTTCTTCTTCTTCTTCTTCTTCTTCTTCTTCTTCTTCTTCTTCTTCTTCTTCTTCTTCTTCTTCTTCTTTTTCTTCTTCTTCTTCTTTGTCTTCTTCTTTGTCTTTTTCTTTTTGTTCTTCTTCTTCTTCTTCTTCTTCTTCTTCTTCTTCTTCTTCTTCTTCTTCTTCTTCTTCTTCTTCTTCTTCTTCTTCTTCTTCCTCCACCTCTTCCTCCTTTGCTGCTGCTGCTGCTTATACCGTAAGTCGTGGCAGAAAGAAGTCAATGTAATGTCATGTCCTTTGCCAGCTGCGAAGCTTGTGTTAACAATGAAATACTAGCTTTTTATAGTGTCTCTTTTACTCCCCCTCCCACCCGTCTCTTTCTTAGTCAGCCGTACATAGATAAATTATAGTCACCCACTAAAAGTACAGTAAGGGACCATTTTCCACGCCTTCAAGCGTGGTGGGCACATAGGGCTAAACCTATATTTTATAGACCAATCCGCACCTGGTAGGAGAAAAGATATAAAACCGAACGAAAAGTATATCAGCAAGCTTCACAATATAACGAACACAAACAAAACGTGAACGTTGCTGCTATGGAGTTTTCATCAGCACATACATAAATAAAACAGTTCCACAAAATACACAGAATTACTTAGCTTAGTATTTCGAAACAGCCAGGTCGACGTCTTGTCAGTAGACTGACGAGACACGTGGGACAGGAGAATAAATACCCCCGGTGAATTCCAGGGGCTGTAATTGATCGGTAGGAGAGGGTCTGGCTAGCCGCTACGCCACGGCGGCTCTCGTAGCTTATTTAGTTGACACCTAAATCCCGCACTGCCTACTTTGTTTATCACGGTAACTGATCTTCCTCTTCTTCTTGTCTCTACTCCTGGAATGCCTCGCAGCGTCAGGGCAGGAAGAGATCTCTGGAATGGGCCCTTCTGTTCGCTCCGTATATAGTACTTTTCAGTGTCTCTGATATTTCTGCAGGCCATTTTCTGCGTGGTCGACTTCTGATTCTGTTACTCTCTATCTGTATAACATTGCTCTCTGTGGTGCCCGATCTTATGCTAATCTTGTTACATGGCCAAACCATTTGGTTTGTTGGTCACCTTCAAAGTTCAGTACTGGTTTTGTGCCGACTCTCCTCCTGATGTCATCGTTCCTAAGTTGATCGTTTCTCGTGACACCTAGTATAGTACGTAAACATTTTTTTTTTCTGTCGTGACTATTTTCCTTCTCTCTTCTGAAGTCAGTGTCCACGTTTGACATTGAAAGCATAGCGTTGATAAGAATATTGTGTTGAACAGTGTTTTTTTAGTATTCATATTCACATGCTTGCATTTCAAAATTGGTGACTTTTGGCCTAAAATTTGTTTGGGATAAAGTGAAGCTGCATGGTTTAATTCCACTTTATTAAAATTGCATCATCACAGATCGCGAACCAGGGAAGCGAGCTGCTCCAGAAGATTGACAACGAGACCCGGCTGTAAAGTCGTCTGCGCCTTCGAATCTTGTCCCGTGGGCACTTTTGGGTTTCCCGAATGTCAGCCATGCCTCTGTAAGAATGCTGACCGTTGCGATATCATCACCGGTCTGTGCATGGAGACCAACTGTACGCCTGGCTTCTTTGGGCCTCCAGCCTGTCGTAAATGCAACTGTCAGCTTGGCACTTTGTGCAATGAAGAAACCGGGGAATGCCCACTTGGTTGCAGGAAAGGCTGGGGCGGCAAATCTTGCCAGGAAAGAGGATGCCGGGAAGGAAGATGTCCCCGACTCACTATACCAGATGAGACGAATTGTACTGCTGGTTCAGACTGCACAAAACGGTCCTGCCCTCAGGGGTTTTACAACCCACCAACTTGCAACGAAACTTGCTATTGTCTCTATTCAGAATTTTGCGATGGAATCGACGGGGACTGTGGCGGAACGCCCTGCATAGGCCGCAGATCTGGGCGGAGATGTGAAGACGCCGACTGTCCCATCATGCATTTCGGCGTCCCCGATTGCTCCAATTTTTGCTTCTGCAAGGACAATCAGCCATGCCATACTCGAAAGGGGACGTGTCTTGCTGGCTGTCGCCAAGGGTGGAGCGGCGAAACCTGCAACCAACGATTCTGTCCAGCTGGACGCTTTGGATATCCTGCTTGTAACCTGTTGTGCAACTGCAAGAGGCAAGACGCCTGCAATTCCTTGTCGGGACTGTGTGAACTGCATGGTTGCTCCGATGGTCGTGAGCTAGTCAAGAACTGCACAAAACAGGTTCCCCGAGCCCCAGAGGGAGTCGTATCGTCTGCTTACAGCACATTTAGCGCATTTGCTTTAGTCTTTGGAACTCTGGTGGTTATAGTGGCAATCTGTGTTCAGTCAATGACCCACACTCCAGATCCAATGTACTCCAGGCGATCTACCATGGCGACGTCTGGAGCTCCTTCAAGTGACAGCATGAGCACCCTCACCACGCAAAGGAAATCGCGCGTCAGCTACATCCAAATGGACAACAGACATCTATCAGTCTCCCTTAGAGAGCCGATCTTCACCAATTCTAGCCACGCGACTGCCGGTTTGTCTACAAGCAACGGTCCAGCACTTTTTCCATCCAGCTGCGTGGACACCAAACAAATTACCACAGTTTAGTTAGTCAAAGTCTGAAAACAAGGAGGCACTGCAGTTCAGCTAGTAGTGTAACAAAATTGATTCACTGTGTTTTTTCAATAAGAAGCTCAAGGAGGGGAAGAATGGTGAGGGGGGGGGGGGGGGGGGGGGGAGCACACACAGAAACACCAGAACGTTTCGGCCTCCGTGTACGAAGACTCAGACCGAAACGTTAGGCTGCTTGTGTGTGCGTGTTTAACCACATGAGAAGTGACCACCGAGGCAGCCATGCAAAGCCAAGAACCAGGAAATCAGACCACCGAGGCAGCCATGCAAAGCCAAGAATCAGGAAATCAGGCCACTAGGACGACCTATTGTTCGCTAGGAAGACAACATCTGACTGACAGAGGACTGGAATGAAACAAAGCCAAAAATAAAACAGCTCACGGAGAAATCTGGCGATCTCTCTGGGCAGACAATTAGACCCCGAAGTAGAAGAGGGTGCTTTATAAATATCCAACCTCAGATGACGTCACAAGACAGTCCAACATTTTAGAGAGTGGTAGGACTGGGTTTTCCTGCTTTCTGCTGCTTTTAACGACCCTAAAACATATATAACTGGCCCTAACCTCAACCCACCTACGTCCCACGAGAAAGTGCAGCCTAGGTCCTACGACTGCATGCAGCCTATCTACCACACCCACAAATATTAGACTGTCCGGTGACCTGTTGATTTCTCCTGTTTTGGGTAGGATATTAAGAAAGCACCTAGAAGAGAACTGACAAAGTAAATAAGTGTTTGACCTCGAGGCTTGGCTGTATGGTTGTATGCACCCTCAAGACGTTTCGCATAGGCACGTCTGGGATTCCCGAACGTCAGCCTTGTCGGTGTGAGAATGCTGACCTTTGTGGCGTCATCGGGGGTCTGTGTGTGGAAAGCAACAATATTTTTTTCGTTTAGCTTCCTAGTTCATTGTTTATTTAAATCATTTAGTTTCCCAAGGCTCGACTTTGACGAATCGTCACCGAACTGTCAGAAAATGGCGGTACCGTTTGATTGAACATGTATGCTTTACTTCCACGGTGGCTTGGAAGGCAATGAAAGAGCAGACGGACTGGCCACAAGCGGTAGTGACTTAGCCCACCAAGAGACTAAGACATTCGTGAAAACTAGTACACAAGAAAGGTGGCCGGATACACAAATCAAATGTTATCTCTAAGACTCGCTTCATCGCCTCTCTGGGAAAGGAAAACTTGTGTCTCATAGACTGTATCTCTGTATCTAAGAGACCAAACTAGAATAAGACATTAATAAAACTGTTATTCAAGAAAGATGGCTGGATACCCACACCAAATTTTCTCCTCAAGACTCGCATCATCACCTCTCTAGAGAGAGACAATGTAATTTGTATACTATTGCGAAACACAACAAACTTCACCGACATATGTTAAAATGTGTCGGTGTAGGAAACACGTTGTGTCCCGAATTCTTACAACCAGAAAATACCGAGCAGCTGCTCCAGCGATGTAAACTGTGTGTTGCCAACAGAGATGCAGTCTGGCTGGTTCCAACCTTAATGAAAAGTAAAGGTAAAGTCGGGAGATGTGAACCAGCGTCATTGCACACGGTTATAAAGCATAAAGCAAAGTGCTCTGCCACCAGTACAGAAAGCTGATAAGAAACTGTCCGCCTGTGTCGCCGTTTGCACGTAACTCTGTAGCTACAGCGACGTTCCTCCATTTACCCCAGAGTGTCACTCTGGTACCCATTTCCTAGAGGCTGGGTGAACCCCGGGAACCGCCCGGTTTCGAACACCGACCGGCGAGTCGCAGCTGGATTTGAAAGCGAGCCTCCTATCGGCTGCGCTAACGCGGCTCCCCCAACCTTAATGAAAACAAAGATGTATGGTACATATTGAACTGTGGACAGGGCGATAACTTTTATAAAGGCTACCGGCCTTCTTATGTAAAGTTTTCTTTCAGAAGGATTGGGGGGGGGGGGGGGAACAAAAGTATCGTCAGAAAACAATTGTACCGTTTTGTTAGACATTTACACCCTGTAAACAGACATGCCAGTAACTCGGGTAAAGTGAATTTTAACAGATAGTTTGATGGTCGAAAGCAGCTTTGGGTTATCGTTGTTGTTCTTCTTCTTTGTCTTCTTCTTGTTCACCAGCTCTAATGTTTGGTGGAGAGTTATGGTTGATCATCCACTTCTGAACTGCAGTCCTGTTCCAGAACCTGAGTGTTGGGTGCACATCCGTTTTACAGATCTGGCTCATTTGTATGCAGACTGCTGGTTCCTCGCCTCTCAGGCAGACGCACTCCGACTTCGAAGGGAGCTCCCAATCTGTCGACTCTTACGACATGTTTTTGGGTAGGCACTTGTTCTGTTCTTGTTTTCCCTATAATAGAGCCCTGGAACCCACACGGAAAGTTGTTGATATTATTATCATTATTATTATTATTATTATTATTATTATTATTATTACTATTATTATTATTATCATTATTATTATTATTAATTTGTATACGCCTCAGTAGTCCAAGTTGTGAGGCTTTGTGATTTAGAGGTTAGTGGACTCGTTTCACAGTGCAGTCTTTTACTTTTACCAGGTTTCGATTCTATAGGTGGGCCGTTTAATTAGAGCAGGGGAAAAGAGACATTTCTCGTGAGTGGTACGAGAGCTGCGCCGTCGAAGAGTCTGGGCCCTTGCCACGCAGTATTCCTTTATTAATAGTGGGTACCTCCATTGTGAAGACGATAGTTTTTTGTTAAGTCTAAGTTATTCTAATATTGACATCTATAGAGGACACAGTATCAGAAATATCGTCTAGAATCGCACCGGCATCTAGTGCCTTTAACAAACTGTCAAATATCTGGAAGTCAAAGACATTCAACAAACACACAAAACTTAACTCTTTGAGTCCCAGGGGGTTTAGCATCACAGGCCCGGGGGTGGGGGGAGGGGGGGTAGTAAAGAAAGTAATAAAATCTGCGCATCGTGCGTTCATTGGGCTTCTAGGTAGGGAGCCATGAACGTATGATGTGTTCCTTGGGACTCAAAGAGTTAAGATCTTCAACTCTTGTATGATTCCAGTGGTAAATTGTGGATGCGAGAGTTGATAAGCAAAGGCAGCTTCAAATTTAAAAAAAAAAATTTTTAACAATTAGATAATTTTGAGAACAAATTTCCTAGAAAAATATTAAATCTCCAGTGGACAGATTTCAGATCAAATGCACAAATAAGACAAGAGACCAAACCAGGTAATGTGTCAATTTTATAAGAAAGTGCTGCTGGAACTACATTGGTCATGCACTCAATGGATAAGATAAAGATTTCCCCATTAAGTCCTCAAATAGACACCGAAATGAAAACGGGGACGACCAACGGAGACTCTGCGTAGAACCATCATCAGGGAAGGCTCAACATTAGACCTAACAAACATCCAAGACCTAAAACAGGTTCCAGTGAACCACCAGACATGGAGAGCTATGACTTCTGCCCTATGCGCCCCTTCCTCCCCCCCCCCCCTTCCCCCGCTTCTGTGAGGCTCAAGAGAAAAGACTAACTATTAATTCTACTGAAAGTGTCAAGTGCGAGTGAAGGAGAGTGATGTAAGGATAAAGTTCGTTCTTTCATTCTCCTCTCTCTCTCTCTCTTTCTCTCTCTCTCTCTCTCTCTCTTTCTCCATCTCTCTCTCTCTCTGGGCCGCGTTAGCGAAGTCGAAAGGAGACTCTTTCAAATCCAGCTGCGACTCGCTGCAGCCAACGGCCGGTGTTCGAAGCCGGGCGGTTTCGGGGTTCACCCAGCCCCTAGGAAGTGGGTACCAGAATTTAATACTCTGGGGTAAATGGAGGAACGTCGCTGTAGCTACGGAGTTACGTGCGGAAGGCGACACAGGCGGACAGTTTCTTATCAGCTGTCTGTACTGGTGGCAGAGCACTTATGGTTTATAACCGTGTGCGATAACGCTGGTTCACATCTCCCGACTCTACTCCCTATTCTCTCTCTCTCTCTCTCTCTCTCTTTTTTTTCTTGCGCGCTCTGTCGCTCTCGTTTATGTGTGCTGTGTGCACGCGCATTTGTATGTGTGTGTGTGGGGGGGGGGGGATGTTATCTGGAAAGCAAAGGTGTTCGTTGCAAAGTCTGAGAAATTACGACTCCAATGTGTATAATAATGATGTTGTGAGGGTCCCTTTAGGAGCGAGTGAACAGTGTGGAAGGACACATAGATCATTACGGTCTGAGGAGAATGGCGCTGCGGGGGAGCTACCAGGGCATCTGGCCAACACTCAAGAGAAAGACGAGACGGATATACAATCAGACAGTTACTGGTACCTTCGGAATTGGAACTCTTCGTTTGCTGCTGAAGATGGAGACGGGGCACTTATGGGAGTTTCTCGAGTACTGTGATGTCGATTCCTTATTCATTTAACGTGTTTGTATATAATAATTAGGGCTGTACCGAATATTCGCTTCGTATTCGCTTCGGGGCCGAATAGTGGACCTAATAGCTATTCGGTATTCGGCCGAATAGTGGCAGTCGGGCCGAATACGAATAGTGATTTCTGCATACACTGCGATGGACTGAAATAACTCTCTCATTAATAATATCACAATTTATAGCCGATTTTTCTTGATTTTCGCCGCGGCACCCCTGTCATACGCACCCAGTTTTAGAACCTCTGCTGTAATGCCTTAGAGGAGTCAGCAGGCGCTGTTACCACGCAACCGGGTCGCAGTTTTCCCCGCTACGACAGATTTAGGCAACGCTACTGTTGTGTTAAAGAAGGCATGAAGAAACTTAAAAGTGTATCTGTGTGTGTGTGTGTGTGCGAGAGAGAGAGAGAGAGAGAGAGAGAGAGAGAGCGTGCATTTTTTGTTCTTTAGGGGTGTCTTTGCCCAAATCAAATTGAAGATATTGCGAACGAGAATATGAAGGTGCATTTAAAATACATCGAACGATCGCCTAAACGAACGATGATTTAAATGCGAATTTGGCACATGGATAAAATTAGATGAAAGATGCATTACTAA